TTAGATTACCTAATTAGTATCCCTGGCATTCCTTTCCCATATAAACCCCAGCTCCATCCTCAGTCTCTCGCAGGTTCCTTAAGAATACTTGCCCGCTGAACAGTGTAACAATAAATCTTTGCCAACTTGACTGAAAGAATGCTTGAGTCTGTGAATTCATTCCAGATGACCCTGTCCTCTACTCCGGTCTTTGAGGGGGTCTCAACCTCTCAGACCGCAACAAAACTATTGTCTTTGCTGTTACTGGGGAACATCCCAGGACTGAGTTGTCTTGTCTTTAACGTCTCAAAAGCCACAAGTAGTATACATTTTTTGAAGGTTTTACTCTGTTTATACTTTAGTTTTGGGGAGAAAGGGAACCAGCAATCCCTCTCTTGACATTTATTTCCTATGTGATCTTGAGTAAGTTGCTATTACTAAATAGCAAATTTATTAATTTTCTTAAAATGAGACCTAATTCACTGATATGAACTTTTTTACTAAAATTTTTATTAAATTTTAAATTGCTAAACAGCAAATTTACTCATTTGCATAAAATGAGACCTAATTTACTGATACTTTCAATATTGGCAGTGTCTATAATCCCTTCCTGCCCCAGATCCAGGTCTTCGATCTTATGAATGATTGTTCCACTCAAGTATAGGCTAGATTTCAGCTTTACTGGCTTGGAAACCTGACTGATAAATTTTCAGTGTAAAGATTTACACCTCAGAAATTGGCAGAATACTACAAATCAGGGCTTGATTTTATTGTTTTGTCGTCTAGAGAAAGTATAATGTAGATTAAAGCTCAAAGTGTGTACGTTGTATTTTGTTTTGTCTCGTTTTAAGAACTGGTTGTTAAACGTTTGCCGGCATACCACTGATCATACCACAATACAACAAATATTGATTGTCCTCTTCAAAAATGAAGTACAAATAACAACCCATAGATAACATTCTCATTCTATTTATTGGTGACATCTGGGAGATGGTTTAGCCATGGAAAAATGCTAAGTATCACAAGACGGTAGAGAAGGGTACAGGGGCCCAGGGAGAGAAAGGACTTGCACAAAGTCACACAGTTAGTTGTTGGCCAAACTGGAAGTAGAACTTGGGCCTCCCATTTTCCAATCCAATGCACTTTCCCCAGCAGAGTTTTAAGCACTATGGCTAACAAGTAAGGGAGTTAATTTTGGATAAGGAAAACCTTCCTAGGATCCCCCAAACCACATTTTTAACCATTAAAATTGGTTCATTCTATCAGCTGAGAATAGTCTTATTATACAAATATGTAAAAAGTTTAAAAAACAAAAAATATTACAAAATAAAAAGCACAAACTTCATTACTTAATAAATATGACAAAAAATAGTTGAAATTGGAAACTAGATAGCTTTTAAGTTGGAAACACATGACCCAGAAAACCATACAAGCTCTTTTCAGATATCTTTACCTAATCCATGACCATTCCATTTTAACCTTGAAGTAGTACCTCCTACTCTGCACAGAATATCAGTTCTGTTCTCTACTCTACCTTCCAGATGAATAAAATGGAAGCTGAGTTTAAATGACTTTCTCAAGGTCATAAATATTTCCCAAACTGGCTTTTCAGTCGGCTAGCAGCATGGTAAGTTGAAATAGCCCTGCATGTAGCATTTCAAATGCTAACTCTCATTCTTGCTACCTATGTGGCCTTGACTAAGTTGCCTGTCCTCTGGGTCTTAGTTTCCTCATCTATCTCCAAAATGATGGGCTGGACTAGATTCATCTCTAACTTCTGGCTCTAGACTCTATAATCTCCACGCTAGGGTTCTTTCCCCAAGTTCTTATAAATGCAGCTCTATGGCACACAGGCCTTCTTGTGGTTTCCTTTTTGGTCTCATACCTATAACCTATAGGTAACCACATGTTCACAAATAAATAAATCTTTGTTTTAAACAGAGTGCAAAGAAGAGAACCGAAGCCAAGTGAAAACAAGAGAACCTATCACCAATTTTAAAGTTTGGTTTAACATTTCCAAGCCCAGCCGGCTTGGGCGAAACCCACTATGTGCCAGAAGAGACCACTGAAGGTGACGCACGGAGATTGCACCTGCTTCCTAAGAAAATGAGGACCGGTGTATGTTGGTGTTTGTTTGGTGGTTGAATTATTCTATTCCTGGCTCAGTGTGAGAACCTAAGCTGATCACAAGATCCATCTTGGTTTTTAACAATTTATTAAGAGAATAAGCACAACCTACACTTCTCTCCCTAAATTTTCTTCCAAGCATTCTACAAACTCTCTGTGCAACTATACATTTAGCATCCCCATGCCACAAAGAGCAGCAGTTACTCTGCTTACCACTTACTTTCAGTCACTGTTGTCATAGGGGACCAAGTCTGAAGTGTTCATAACCTTGTCATTTCCAGGCCAGGATGTTACTGTTGGGGCATTTGATTTCTCAATACCTATACTAACCAGCTTTTACATAGCTCTCTAAGGTTTGCAAAGCATTTTACAAATATCACCTTTTATCCTCCCAAGAACCCTGGAAGATAGGGGCTATTATTATTCTCATTCTACAGGTGAAGACACTAAGGCAAACAGAGGTTAAATGACTTGCCCAGGGTCACTTAGCTAGTAAGTATCTATGACTAGATTTGGGCCTGGGTCTTCCTGACTCCAAGTCCAGTGCTCTATTTACCTTACCACCTAAAGAGCCTTCACACTTGATTTTCACCACTGGCCTAGGAGTCATGAGATCTGGGTTCTGCTCCTGTCTCTCCTACTAATTTGTTTTATAATCTAGGGTAAAGCATTTGAACTTGGACCTCTTCCTGAATCTAAGTCATCATCATCATCATCTTCATCTTCTTCTTCTTCTTCTTCTTCTTCTTTTTCTTTTTTGGAGGCAATCAGGGTTAAGTGACTTGCTCAGGGTCACACAGCTAGTAAGTGTCTGAGGTCACATTTGAACTCAGGTCCTCCTGACTCTAGAGTCACTATTTACTGTGCCACCTAGCTGCCCCCCTCGTTCTAATTGTGTGGGTAGAAGACTGGTACAAAACTCTAGGAGTCCCTCTCTAGATGAATGTGGTGGGGGTAGCGAAGAGAACATAGCCGTCCCCCTCTTCACAAAAGTGATATCTATCTTACAGCCCAGTTCCATTTGTGCCAGGCTTCAAGGACATGACTCCCAAAGGAAGCATAGATCAAAGTGAGTAGTTTGCCGATTCTGTTGCTCATCCCGTGAGTGAGGAGAGGAGAAAATTGTGTATACTTAAATATAAATGGGTCCCTTCTCCCAGCCATAGCTCAACAAGAAAGTCCTCAAATACTGACGCTGAATCAGAGATCTAAGCCTATTGCACCTTTACCATATTCTTAGACGAATTTATTGTTGTTGAGTTGTTTTTCGGTCTAACTCTTTGTGACTTCATTGGGGCTTTTCTTGGCAAAGATAATGGAGTGGTTTGCTATTTCCTTCTTCTGCTCATTTTACAGATGAGGAAACTGAGGCAAACAGGGTTAAGTGACTTGCCCAGGGTCACACAGCTACTAAGTGTCTGAGGTCACATTTGAACCCAGGAAGATTAATCTTCATGACTCCAGGCTTGGCCTTCTATTCACTACATCATCTAGCTGCCCCTAGAAGAATTTACCTGTCAGGGAAATTAAGCCTTTGGTTCTAACAAGTTCTTTGTAGCATGAATATTCTCTCTCTCTCTCTCTCTCTGTCTCTGTTTCTCTCTTTCCCTACCCAAATACCAAACCTTTAAGAGCTAAAAAGAAAAAAAAAAGAAAGATAACTGGGAATATCACATAAAATAATTTACTGCAAGAAATACTTTCTTAAATCATCCTCCCTTAAAAAAACAAGTTTCACCTTCTAAAATTCACAAACTTTGCATTTTACATGTAATACATACAAAAATATGACAAAGAAGAAAAATTCCATATAATTTAATTAAGGTGCTGTCCCTGAAATGACAACTCCAAATTAAAGTAACTATCTTCTTAAGGATGAAAAAGAACATTCATATTCCACACAATCTTGCAACATATATAAATAGGGATAGGAGATGAACCTGTAGATTTCATTGGTTGTCGGTAAGTTTTCCTGTGAGAAAACTTCCTCCACCAATGTGTATTGGCACCTTCTCTACAAGTTATAATCCTAGAGAATTGCCCAGAGCACCATGAGGTTAAGTGACTTGCCCAGGGTAACTCAGCTAGTATGTGTCAGGGTGGGACTTAAACCCAAATCTTACTGACTCCGAGGCCAGCCATCTATCTATCACACAATGCTACCTTTAACGTACATAAAAAGCTGCCCAAATTTGACCTCAGTTTTGCAGACACATTTATTTCAGGGAGAGTAGAGAAGAAATATACAAGCAAATAGCGAGAGATACACAAACTCTGTCCATCTCACTGACTTCTGCTTAAGTTTCAACTTAACTCTAAGACAAGACCAAGTATCCTTCATTTTTTAACCATGAAACATTTCTTTGTGGAAAACACTAAAGGAATCTCTTCAACAATATGAAATCACAGTATGATAAACTGGAGACCCTGTTTCTAGTGACAACCACCAGGTGGTGCTGCTGAGTCACAGGTTAATAAGCTTCTAAAGTGAATCTAGTGCAATTGGAGAATGCCTCTATTTTACAATGGCGGCAGTTTACCTCTTCAAGCCAATGCCAATACCTCAGTATCTGGAGGTACTGAATAATCAATCATGTGATGTATTTATGAGAGATTATCTTTCACTGAACAATAGCAGATCTCATTTATCAAATCAAGTTTTTCAAAGCACTTCACATACATTTGCCCATTTGATCCCCACCACAACTCAGTATTGTTGTTGTTCATTCATTTCAGTTGTGTCTGACTCTCCATGACCCCATTTGGGGTTTTCTTGGCAGAGATACTGAAATGGTTTGCCATTTCCTTCTCCAGCTCATTTTACAGATGAAGAAATTGAGGCAAACAGGGTTAAGTGACTTGCCCAGGGTCACAGATCTAGTAAGTGTCTGAGGCCAGATTTGAACTTAGGGAAAGAAGTCTTCCTGACTCTAAGCCCAACACTCTATCCACTGTGCCACCTTACTGCCCTCAGTTCCCAAACAGGGTAACCCATATACCAGAATCAATATACTGACCTATAGTAGCAAAAGAATGCTGTGTTATAGAAAAAAAAAAAAACAAACCCAAAGATTAAATTAGCATGGCAAATAGTACACTATGGCCTCCTATCTCATGTATGTGATCATAGCTTTATCACTCAGTGCTTTGCACTACCCCAAAGTAAAGCACACCCGTACTAGGAGGTAGAGCACATCATCCTCATCTGTGGTCCAGAAACCTACAGACAAATTGACTCAATTCTTCCCTCACCACTAGGAAATTTCAAGCCTTCTTTCCCCTGTCAGGGGCCTGGTGGAGGAATGAGCTACCAATTGCCTATAAGGGTTGTTTCAAATGACAATTGGAAATGCAGCTGCCACATACTAGGGGAAAAAATGTGCATGAGAAATGCTCCTGTTTGGTGAGGAGACAGGCCACTGAATGCATGCACAAGCGTTTCCTCCCACTTCCATCCGCCTTTACAAGCTTGTACAGCTAGGGCTGCTCAGGCGCTATGCTGCTATTCCCAGAGACACACCATCCTGCTAGCTGCAGGAGACGACGTCTTCTTTGTCCTCCATACGGCGGAGAGGGCATCTCTGTGGCTGTAATAACAATGTGTTCTTCTGCCCCAGAACAGGAAGAGTCAAGTGGACTGCTCAACCATGGCAGGATAAGGATTCCAAAGGACAGCGTCAGCCTCTAGTTAATGCCATCTTCAGAATGACGGTGTTAGCAGATTTCTGTCTCTGAAATGAAATGAGTTTTCTCTTTCCAGAAAAGTAACAGATACTTAGAAGACTATGACCTTCAGAAACCAAGGGTCTGACTCCATTTCACTCTGGAAAAGAAAAAAAAGAAAAAGTTCCATTATCAAAGTTCCACTATTATTTTTTTTAAAAGGAGTCAGTTTTTTAAAAGTATTTTCATTTTTTATTTACTCAGTTTTTCCTAACCTCAACTCCTGAACAAAAATCAAAAGTTTCTTCTCCACTCCACACCCACACTTCTAGTGTGCTAGGTGTCCCAAAAGTTTTAATGCAATTTTAAGCTTTTTTTTTTAATGACAGAAAACTGCACTAAGACTTTTGGGACACCCTATATATGTACCAAATAGTCTGCAAAAGTATAACAGTGCATAATCTAAGACCTAGAATCCAAATCATAACTATTTTTAAAATATTTAAACTTTGTCAGTGCCCAAATAGATGAGTAAAATAGATAACAAAATTGAAAAATAAACTCTAAAAAAATTATCATGTGGCTAACGTGCACAGTATTTTATGACAGATTAAAACATATAGACTTCTACAATCTAAGTAGTCAGCATTTATTAAGTGCCTACTATGTGTCAGTACCATGCTAAGAAATGTATGCATAAAGAAAGGCAAAACACAGTCCCTGCTCTCAAGAAACTTGGTCTAAACCCCTAATATACATAATAGGAGACAGCTAGGTGGCTCAGTGGATAGAATGTAGGACCTGGAGTCAGGAAGACCCGAGTTCAAATCCAGCCTCAGATACTTACTAGCTGTGTGACCCTGGGCAAGCCATTTAATCCTGTTTGCTTCAGTTTCCTCATTTGTAAAATGAGTCGGAGAAAGAAATGGAGAACCAAAAAAATCCCATGGACAATATTGGCTTGATCCACAGGGTCATGAAGAATCAAATATGACTAAACCACCACAACTATATATATATACACACACACACACATATACACACATATATGTATACATACACATGTATAGTAATTTTCCTCAATAAAAAACATTTCATATTTATATAGTGCTTTGAACCTTAGAAAGTATATTTGTAATAAAGTTGAGGTGGGTAGTTCAAGTATTAGCCCATTTTACAGATGAGGAAACTAAGGTTAAGGGAAGTTAAGGAACTTACCATTATCAGACTCTTAGTAAATTGTCAGAGGTGGGACTCAAACCCAGATCTTCTTACTCCTAGCTCCACTGCTCTTTCTACCATGCTATATTGCCTCCAATAACCCTCATCATAACTTTTTTCACTAATCTTCAGAGATACCCTTAATAACTTATTTTTTGTTACCCTAGAATTTTGTATTTCTTTTGCCTAAGGCTTTCCAGACCTCCCCCAATTTTTTCTTTCCCCTCTGCTCCCGTATACAAAATCTTAATTCGTCTTTAATGCATAAATCTTTTGTCTCCTCAATGAGGCAATCAGAAAATACTGCTATTTCATCCATAAATAGCAATTAAATGGATTTTCTTCCTATCAATGATCTCTCATGATTAAGCTCCAAATCACTTCTCCTTTTTGGCTAAGAAGATTCACTGCTCTGTGGACCAAGTGGGCTTTTTGCCGGCCAGCATTATGATGCTTGAATGTTGATCAAATTAACATGTTTGAGCATCTGCTACATGCAGTACAATCTATTAGGCACTAAGAATATAAATATAGATATAATGAGGAATCTACCCTCAAGAAGCTTGCCATCTAAGATGTGGCAAAGGCACATACACAGATCAATTACAAAAGAGAAAAAGAAATATCAAGGATTTGATTGTAAGCTCCTTGATAGCAAGGGCTGTCATTTACCTATCTTTGTGTGTCCAAATGTTAGCATTGTGCTGGGTACATAGTAGATACTTGATAAATGTTTGTTGACTGACTATTGACTGAAGACAGGTTCATAGGACCAATGATTTAAAGTCAAGAATTTTCTTATAGCTAGAGAACTTTTGATTAATGTATAATCCTAATAGGCCTGAATTATCAGGCTTTCCAGTATATAATCAAAAACCCCTATTTCAATAATATATAAGTAGAAGATAGGAGTCATGCTTCCATTTAGAAAAAAAAAGATTTTGACAAAATGGCAGAAGAAATTCAAGCTGAGGTGGAGGAGTGATGTGTCTATACAAGGAAGATGAATTTAAATTTGTGGTAGAATAACCAGAGAAGAGAATTGTAGGAAGAACTAGAAAAGGATTGTATTGGTTAGAGTGATAAGAAAAAAAAGTTTAATAGAATTATTGGAATGTAAAGAAAAAGGGACAGCTAGGTGGCCCAGTGGATAGAGTGCCGGGACTGAAATCAATCCTGGTTCAAGTCCTGTCTCAGACACTAATTAGCCAAGAAAACCCCAAAAGGGGTCATGAAGAGTTGGGCACAACTAAAAACCAACTAAAAAACAAAGAGGTTGAAAGATTTTGTTGTTCAGTCGTGTCTGACTCTTCATGACCCCATTTGGGGTTTTCTTGGCAAATATACTGAGGTGGTTTGCCGTTTCCTTCTCCAGCTCATTTTACAAATGAGAAAACTGAGGCAAACAGGATTAAGTGACTTGCCCAGGGTCATACTGCTAGTAAGCATTACTCCTAGGCCTGGCGATGTATTGACTTCACCACCTAGCTGCCCAGGTGAAAGGTCTACAGATTATTAGAGCTGAAAGTAGCCCTCACTACCACCTCTCACATATATAGGGACTAAAGACTAAAGGGGTTAAGTGACTAGCCCAAGGTCACAAAGTTCATTAATCACAGAGCAAGAGCTTGATCCCCTGGATCCTTGCACTCAGCTTTTAACAAGTTTCCAAAGACACTCTGTTAACTTTAAACACTGTCTAGGAGAGAAAGCCTGTGTTTACAATCAATCACCTTGATTTTCACAGATGTGAGATTGTGTTAGTGTTTGGATTACTAAAGAGTAAATTAAGTTGTTCTGTTTGTTTGTTTTTTGGCTAGGTAATAGGGTTAAGTGACTTGCCCAGGGTCACCAGCTAGTAAGTGTTATGTGTCTGAGGCTGGATTTGAACTCATGTCCTCCTAATCCCCAGCCTGCGCTCTATCCACTGCACTACCTAGCTGCCCCCAAATTAAGTTTTTCTGCTGCTGAGTTAATCCAAACCAGCTGGATTCTAGTGGTCTGACTGTGCACAGTGACTTAATTTAAAGCAGATACAATAAATTTTTGCCATGATATGAAGACATTTCCACTTGGATGGCCTACTAGCCCCTCAAAGATGATTTTGTCCAAAGCTGAATTCTTCACCCTTTTTAGAAAATAAAACATCTAACCCTCATCCTAACATTTGTTTTTCAAGCACTACTATTTCTGCAGTCATCCAGGCTCCTAACTTTTGGTTTCTTTCCTTCTCTCTCATCCCCACACATTTAATCAGTGACAGATTTTGTATATTCTGTCTCTAAAATATTTCTTACAGCTGTTCCCTCTTTGCAACTCAGTCTAATTCAAGCTCCTATTTCTTCATATCTTGTTGTTGTTCAGTCATTCTTCAGTGATCCCATTTGGGGTTTTCTTGGTAAAGATGCTGGAGTGGTTTGCCATTTCCTTCTCCAACTCATTTTACAGAGGAGGAAACTGAGGCAAACAGGGTTAAGTGACTTGCCCCCTGAGTTACTAATACAATAAGTATCTGAGGCCAGATTTGAACTTAGGAAGATGAGTCTTCCTGACTCCAGGCCTGGCATTCTGTGCACTATGGCGACCCCTTGCTGCCCATCTTCATATCTAGATCCATAACTTTATATTTAGATTACTACTATCTTAACCACCTGATTGGTTTTCCTGCCTCTAGTTTCTTCTTTTTCCTTTCCCCACTGTTTGCTTAGAAAAGTTACTGGTGATATTAAATCATGGATAACATAAGTGGATTGGTTCATGTCTTAGAATGTAGGACTAATTGAATAGAATGCAGGTCTCTGTGAGGCAGTCAAGTGGTCCAGTGTCTAGACCACTGGTTGGGGATACCCAAGTTCAAATATGACCTCAGATACTTACTAACTGTGTGACCCTGGGCAAGTCACTTAACCTCTGCCTGCTTCAGCTATTTCATCTGTAAAATGAGGATAATGATTATATCTATGCCCCATGGTTGTTGTGAGATAAAATGAGATATTTATAAAGCTCTTTGCAAATCCTAAATCTTAATATTTAGGCTCAGCACCCCTGTTTTTCTCTATATTTTTCCACACTTATACTCTGTGATGCCCACTATACTTACAGGAGAGTGACAGAGAAGCTGGGTCAATTCCCAGAGTTTCACAGCCTGATACAGTCCGATCATGAAAATTTTGACGTAGAATGCCCAGCACCAACTCCTCACTCATCATATACTTCATGAAGATGTCATCCTCCGAAGGAACTGCAAAGTACAGGTGGTATGCCACCGTGGAATTGTCACTACTGAACAACAATTCAAATACAGAGCTGGTAAACACACAGAAAACACAACTGAACTATAAAATCCCTTTTAATTTTTCTTATTTCTTATTTCTAAAATATTTTAAAGTTGAAAAGGTACTCATACACATCATATCACTAGATTCCCTCCTCCCCAATAAACCTTGTGAAATACCTATGAGTTTCCCCATTTTAAAGACGGGGATCCAAAGTCCAAAGCTTTCTCTATTACTCCGTGATGCCTTCTAAGTAGCATACACATGTGTGAAAGGAGATGTCAAAAATGCCTTTTCTTGAGAAGAAACCACATTCATTAGGGCATGAGCTATACTATTCATGCTCCATCTCTGCCCTAGCTGGGTTGGAGTAGAGGTGAAGTGACTTAGCTTACACCTCTATAATAAGTAAAATATATTGAGAGAAATTATTATTGTACTATTATATCAATAACTAATTATTAATTTGTGATCCAGGCTTTTCTCCTATTTCCTCATTAAGGCCCAGTTCTTATTAAAGTCAGTCTCTGAAGGACAGATTGATGAAATTATTCCTAACCTTCAAGGAACAAGCTAGTCGATCTTGGGCAGGACTCCACCCAATTAGGAGACCTAATTTCTGTTTAGAGCATAAACAAAATCCAGTCTGGACATGCCCTTCCCCTGAGGGAAGGAACCCTTTTCCATGGCCCTCTCCACTAGAGTTTTGGGTGACCCAGCTCATAAAGCAGGTACAGATGAAGATGGCTACTCCTTCTCTAGATTGCTGGAGGCTGCTGAGTCTCATGATCTAGTCCAATGTCTACCAATCAAGACTGATTTTCACTGGTCAGGAGAAGTCCCTTTCAGAAGGTATTTAAGGCATCTCTAGGTCTCCCTTGGCGTCTTTGGTTACCAGAGAAACCACTGACCATCAATTTATTGATTGCCAAGTAGCCTAATTAATAAATTGATTATTAATTATCCAGAAACTGTCTCTCAGGGTTTTTCATTCATCTCAATATCACTCATATGTATAATTAGCCACAATACTGCCAACTGCAATGTCTCTTCCTCTCCATTTTTCCCCTTAATGCACCTTTTTGAAAAACTTTTTAAAATTTATATTTAGCATTGATTTTTAAAAATTTTGAGTTTCAAATTCTCTCTCTCTCTCCAGGCACTCCCCCACCCATTGGGAAGGCAAACAATATGATATCAATTACACACTTTAACTTAATGTACCTTTTAACCTGATTCAGAGTTAGAGTAAGTGTCCTGGAGGCAGGGCCCACAATGTAAGCCGACCCAGCCTAAACTGGGTCCTTATTACTGAAGGGTAAGTCTTCCTTCTTCCCTGACAGATGTTGGAGGGGTATGGCATGAGGATAGGGAGAAGGAAGTCCTCCGGAGGAAATGTACACCCTCAACTCAAAACAGTATGGCAGCATCCAACATACTGAGTAGTTTGTTTCAAAATAGGGAACTCCTTGCCAGTGTAATAATAGATTCCTATGGTTTTTCATATATTTTTCAAACTGGACTGGAGGCAAATACGCAGTGTGGTATAGTGGGAAGAACTTTGGATTTGGAGTCAAAAGATCTGAGTTCAACTTCCCAGCTCTGCTACTTACCTGCCTGTGTGACCTCTTAAAAGTTATTTAATTTCTCAGGGCTTCAGCCTCAACCTATAAAATAAGTGGGTTGACGCCTTTACAGCCCCTTCTAGCTCTCAATCTATGACTGTCACCATGAGCAGGAGCTCAGCTTTGTAAGTGTTGGCCATATGCCTTAAGGCAAGCATCTCACCCTTCCTTCAACTTATTTCCTGATTCTAAAATGAGGATACATGTATGAATGTGCTGAGAGATACTGTGGGGATGAGTTAATTAATGGTTTGAACTCCTAGTTAAATGTGGCCTAAATATTTAACACTAGCTGCAACTCCTATCTTGTTCCATTTGTTCAAGATGACTCAAACAGAATATCAGCGATCACAATTAAGAATAGTACAGATCCTTCCACTTGGGAGTACCCTCTCAAGAAAATATCTTGCAGAAATGCAAGCAGTATTTAAATTCCTATTAGAAGGATTTGAGGCTTAAGATGAATAGGTAAATGGCATCCTCTAGTGGTCACATTCCCATTGGCCTTTTACAAACAATGAGGCCTAAACTAAATGACTACACAGAATCACAGCTTTAGGAGAAAAGGTCCTCCAGCTCTTTTTGCTGGAAGAGCCGGGAGCAGAAACAGTATTGTACCTTTCTTTGTATCCCTGCTGCTTAGTATAGTGCCTGCAACATTGTGGGTGCTTAATCAATTTTTATTGACTCAAAAGCTTCAATTTGCCTCTTTGTACTTTCTCACCCACTGCTCCTAAGCTTTATTCTGCTTTGGACTTTGGAATCCAATTACCAATGAGAGTTTCACGTCTCATGAAATCTCTTCCTTCCTCTAATTAGTTTTAATAATATCCAACCCTTTAAGAGGCGCTACCAGGACCATCATTCTTGCCTCATTTACCTCAAGGGCTGCCTGGAGGATCAGATGCAATAATGGTTGTGACATAATAAAGCAATGGGAGCTGATGACACCATTCTCTTTGTCAGGGGCTTGGCCAGCTGGGAGATTCTTGCAGGCTGTGCAGTGGCTAGTTAACTAAAGAAGTGGGAGTAAAAGGCAACTCTAGACAGCCTGTTCAAATCTCCACCACCACCTCCTTACCATCCTTCAGGTCCCTGGCCTTATCTTTAATTCTCCCAGAGAACAACGAATATCCTATTGGAGAAGACTGGCATATTCAGAAAACAGATCTAGATTCTAGTTTCAGCTCTGCTGCTAATTCTGCCCAACGTTGAGGAAGTCCCCTCCTTTCTCTGGGCTTCATTTCCTCCTCTGGCCTTGGACTTGAACTTTCACCCACCAAAGGTACAGGCTGAGTTATGAATAGGGTTGGGCACTAACTAAGCAAAGCAATCACAAAGCAAAGCTTTCTACCTCGAAGATCCGTGCAGGAGCAAAAGGGAAAGATGTAGCTGGGAGTGTCAGGGTGCCTACTACTCAGGCATAATTCAAATTCCCCTAAGGCGAGGCCATTGGGTAGAATTTCAGGAGGGCAGGACTGGCCAGAGAAGATAGAGGGCTTAAACAGTAATGGTGATGGAGGATCGGACATCAGAGATTTAAAGGTATAAGGGATCTTCGAGGTCATTTTAGTATAACACCCTCATTTTACAGATGAAGAACTAAGTCCAAGTGAGGTTACGTGATTTCCCCAAAGTCACATAGGTAGTAAGCAAGTCAACAAGCATTTTTAAAGTGCCTACTATGCACCAGGCAAACACTGGAGATATTAAGAAAAGCAAAAAGAGTCACCAAGGATGGAAAGGCATGGCTTGGGTTCTGATCTTAATCACAGGTGAGAACGGCTCAATAGAAGACGAGAAGACAAAACCCACTTGAGTATTAGAGTTAGAGCGAATGAACTTACAGAAAATAAAGGTTTAACTTCCTTTTGCTTGGGTAGTAAAGGTACCATTTGGGGAGGCTGTGACTTTTTTCTTCCTCTATTTTCTTCTCTGAGAAAAACTAAAAATTGGGCAACTTACACAAAAAAGCTTTCTTAACGAAAATGCATAAAATGCTCTCATTCTTTTTTTCCAAATCTAGTTCAGTTTTTCTTTCCACCTACTCTAAATGTTGCCTAGAGAGATCTATGGCAGTATCTTCTATTCTCTTTCATTCAGCACAGTAATCCATCCTCAGTTGTCACCCAAACCCCAGATAAGAAAAGAGCTTGGACCAGGGAATATCTGTGAACTTAAATGAGACTCAGCTTTCTCAAGTCTTTCAGTTGAAGGGTTTATAGGCCCACCTACCCATCATCCTTAAATGGTTCTGGGGGGAATTAGCCAAGATTTTCACCTATTATGCAATTTGTATTTCAGACAATAGGGTGAATGTCACAGTAGAGTTTTGCAAAGCTAAAGTAGGGTTTGTTTTTGGGTTGTTTTAGGTTCAGACCCAGATGGGAAACTTTCACCTTTCACCATTCAAGCTGATTAAAACCAGTAGGTAACTTATGGTTTTAGAATTGCCTGAGGCAATAAAAGTTGACCAGTACATAGGGTCGGTCACACATCATTTGTCAAAGTCAGAACCTGAACACATCTTCCTAACTTTAGGACAGCCCTCTCTCCACTGAATCATATTACAATGTACCAATAATGTTGGGTAGCTAGGTGGCACAGTGGAAGGAGTTCTGGGCCTGGAGTTAGGAACGTTAATCTCCTGAGTTCAAATCTAGTTTCAGACACTTACTAGCTGTGTGACCCTGGGCACGTCACTTAATCCTGTTTGCCTCATTTCCTTATCTGTAAAACGATCTGGAGAAGGGAATGGCAAACCACTCCAGTATCCTTACCAAGAAAACTCTAAATGGGGTTACAAAGACTGAACATGACTGAATAACAACAATGCTGTGAAACCACATTGGTGAGGAAATGATCCAGTGTTGAGAACAACTGATTTGGAATCAGAGGACCTGGGTTTGAATCCTAGCTCTGCTACTTACCACCCATGTGACCTTGGACAAGTCATTTAACCTCATGAGGTCCTTTCCAGTTCTGAAACCTACACTAATCCTATGAAACATTATATGGAACAATCTGTCCTAGGAAGAGAACATCAGTGTAAAGTCATCCTGTACCATTTTGGTATAGATGCTATCTGGTCAAAGTGAACATCAAGGGCAGCCTTAGAGGGGAAAATAATAGAAGGAGAAATGATTAAAAAGTGAAGCATTTCAGGCTCAGAAGTTAAACGACTTCCTTATATTTGAACTACTAATAAATGTAGGAGGTGATATTTGAACTCAGGTCTTTCAGGGTTCCCAAGTCAATTCTCTTCCCAGCATACCACAGTCCTTTCTATTGTAATCATTTGTGTACATTCCTCTACCCATCACTGGACTGGAAAGTCCTGGAGAACAAGGACTATGTTGCTTATTATCAGCATGTCCTTAGCACCAAGCTGAATAAGTAATTAAGTGCTGAATAAATGCTAGGGGGTGTTTTGGGTGTTTTTTGGAAATTCCACTTATAACAATTCTGAAGGACTTGTGATGAAAAATGCTATCCACCTCCAGAGAAAGAACTGATGAAATCTGAAAGCGGATTGAAGCATGCTGGTTTTTTATTTTTAACTTTTTTTCTTGTTTTTTTTTTTTGGTTTGAGTTTTCTTTCACAACATGACTAATATGGAAATATTTGTGCATGAATGCACATGTGTAATCTTTATCATATTGCTTGCCTTCTCAAAGAAGGAGGAGAGGAGAGAGAACGCGGGGAAATTTGGAACTCAAAATTACAAAAAATGAAGGTTAAAATTACTTTTATATGTAATTAGAAAAAATAAAATATTAAAATTAAAGAAGAAATTCTACTTACAGGTGAAGCAGCAAAACATTTCCCCAATGTGACAGGAGATAAATGAAGTTTGGGTAAAAAAAACCCAATAAGACGAAACAAGCATTTACTAAGCCCCTAACATATGCCATGCACTGTGCTCAGTGCTTTACAAATATAACTTCATTTGATCTTCACAATAACCATAGGAAGTAGGTGCTATTATTACCCCTATTTTATAGTTGAGGAAACTGAGGCAGACAGAGGTTAAGTGACAGGGTCACACAGCTAGTATGGTCAGACTGGAACTTGAGTCTTCCTGACTTTAGACCCAGAACTCCATCTACTTCACTTCTTAGCCGTCTCTTAAACAATTTAACTATTTTTTTAAAAGGACAATATTTCACCTTGTGAGGTAAGATGAAAATGGGAAGAGGGTTATAGCAGGGTAGAACACTGTTTTTTTATGTGTAAGTGCCTCAGATCCTATGGAGCTCCCCCTAGCGATGCAATCCTGCTCTTCCAAAGTCCCTAGCAAAGTCTAGCAAAATAACAACAGTAGCAACATTTCATCAGTATTCAAAGACTTACAAAGTGTTTTTTCTTGTGACCACCTTGGGAAGTACAGATGAGGAAACTGAGGTACTGAGAGATGACAGCCAGCGTGCGCCAGAGCTAGGTTTTAAATCTTGACTCCAACACTAGAGCACTCCTTTGGGAATATTACATTGCCTCAATGCCCATTCTGCCCATTTGGATTAGATTCTCAAGAAGGTTCTTTCCTGCCTTAAAAATCTTTTCTTTTTCTCCTGTGTCTTCTCAGAGAAGGCCACGATTAGGGGCTATTGAAATATTGAGAAACTAGGACTTTTGCTTGTAAACTTTTTTGGGTCTCCATTAGTCCTCCAGGAAAATGGAAAGTCGTTCCTATCCCTTCACATAGGTCCCAGGGGTGTTGAATATATTGGGTAAAGAAATGCCTGAGTTCCTCAAAAGCACATATAATTTCCAGAATTATGTCATTATTATGCTGCCTCCCCAGTGGTATTACTATTTCTGCCCTTCATAAGCACTTACATCTATTGGATGTTCACATCCCTGACCCAATGACATTTCCAAAACACTTGTCAATCACATCAGTTTTGGACTGCAAGGGACCTCACAGTCTACTTTCCTGCCAAAGCATCATCTCAGATAATCTAGTAGCTATTTCATATTTTTAAATTTCCCAGGAAAAACTCAAGAATCTACTTCACAAGACCCTTGCAAAGAGGAAAACCTTCGTTCGGTTGAACTTTGAGGAAAAATAAACAATGCCACAGGGAGTAAGAAATAGGGACTAAATCTGTTTTTTTTTGGGGGGGGGATGTTGAGACAATCAGGATTAAGTGACTTACCCAGGGTCACACAGCTACTAAGCGTCAAGTGTCTGAGGCCAGATTTGAACTCAGGTCCTTCTGACTCTAAGACCAGAGCTCTATCCACTGTGCCACCTAGCTGCCCCTATATCTGTGATTTTCATTGGTATAGGGAACTTCTAGATTTAGAACTCTTACCTATGTCAGTCTTCAAATTCTATGCATCTTCTTAAATTGCCTGGAGCACTGAAAGGTTGGTTAAATGACTTGCCTAGGGTCACACAACCAACATGTTTCAGAAAAAGGTAGGTCTTCCTGACTCCAAGGCCAGGCCTCTATCTACTATGCCACCATGCCTTTATAGAAAGTCATTATGAGCCCGAAATTTCTAAAGACTGCTCCACATTCTTACCTAGAGTCAGCTATTTCAACTGAAGCAAAATATCGACTCAGAGCTGGAGAGGAACTGTACAGATTTGTGAGCTGTGGAGGGAAGAGAAATGTCAGATTATTTCCTCATTCTAAAATGCAAAACTATTTCTTCCCAAAGAAATTCTACTTTAGTCACGTGTCAGTGTATTTATAAGTTCATAAGCTAGGTGATACCGTGGACAGAGCAATGGATCTGAAATCAGGAAGATCCAAATTCAAATTCAGCCTCGGATCCTTAGCTGTTTGACCCTGGGCAAGTCACTTAACCTTTCTCTGCTTTAGCTTCCTCATCTGTAAAAATAGGGATGATAATAATAACTCTTACCTTTTACAAATCTTAAAGCACTATACAAATGCTAATATTGCTATTATTGTTATTACTACTACTATTGTTGTTATTAATATTACATAAGGTCAGAACAATTTAAGAAAAAGCAATTTAAAAAAAATTTCATTTCCTACTGAATCCAATGGGACCAAGTAACCAACATGACATCCTTTATACAGCACAATGACATCTTATCAGCTTAGTAGTGTTGTTGATTGGAATTGAGAGCACCCCATGACCACAGGAAGAACAGAAATACAGAGATAGGATGGAAAGTCACAAAAGGGCAGTGACCCAGCTAACAAAAGACTTCAGTCTACCTCATTCTCCAGAACCTGAGTCACACTGCTTCTCTGGGGCCAGAAAAGGAGATAAACCTTTTGATCAAGTATTTTTCACTCTATTAGAAAAATTCCCTAAAATTTGAAGGAAAGGAGCTGCATTAATTATATTTCTATCTTTTTTAGCACCAGAGCATTTTATAGATCACTACTTCAAAAAAAAAAAAAACAAAAAACAAAACTGAGCTTAGTGTTTTTTAATACTTACGGCCAAAACATTCATTTACATTTTATTTGGTCTAAATTTGCACTTAAGGCCTTCCTGTTTGGTTCCTGGATCCAACCTAAGCATTCCCTTAAACCCTGTACTTACTCCATGGCTGTCCTCAAGTTTCTCCTGAATAGTTTCTGCCTCTCAGACTTAAGTGGACCCATAGCCAAACCCTGGGAGCAATCATTATAAAGACCAGCTTATGTTTATCTGGCCCTCTAAAGTACTTTCCTATATGGTCTGTCTATTCTCTATCTCTATGAGGGACCAGGTTAGCTCCCAGACTTGCCCCAGCCTGCATCCACATCTCTGACTTTTTCTGGAATCATCCTCCTAGCATCCACAGAGGTGCCTGTGGTTGAGATAGGGAAAGAGGCGGCCGGGATGGCCCTCAGGACCACATGCCATAGACCCACTGGCTTAGTGAGAGCATTGAAGAAGAAACTTCTAGGGGTGATAGTGCCTGAGGAGAAGAATCTGCCTCATACTCTATTCCCAGCCCAATACAGAATATCCCAGGACATTCCACTTACTCCCCAGAATAAGAGATCATCACAGAACCTGGAATTATTAAGATCCTTTAGCTATCATATTTATAGCTGAAATCCAAGCATATTGGTTTCCTGGGAGAGGAGCAGTTGATAAACAGACATATGGGATAGGGATAGGGACTAGATGCATGATTTCATTGATCTAGGGAACTCCCAGGTAAGGAAACTCTCTCTACCAATGAAGTTGGGCAACTTTTCTGAAACTTGTAGTGTTAGGAAGTTGCCCAGAACACCTAGAAGTTAAATGATTTGCCCAGGGTCACACAGCTAGTACACATGTCAGAGGCAGGTTTTGAATCCAAGTCTGGAAGACTTTGAGGCCAGCTCTCTAACATACCATGCTAGCTCTCAAACATATACACGTATGTGTGTAAATCAGACAAAACTCTCCCAGATAGCTAACCGAGAGTGTGAAGCAAGGAGAGTGTTACTCACTCTGACTCAAAGGATAATTAGAAAACTACCCCAGGACTCTCTCTAGCTATCAGAGATTTCATCACCAGCTTTCTAGTCAAGGCGGAGACAGGTTGGACTTTGCCTTAATACAGGGAGTGCAAAGAACTGGTGGGGAAATTAAGTGGAACTAATTTTTTGATATCTTATCTTTAAAATGGAGTATGTACTCTTGAAGTCAGGAGGACCTGAGTTCAAATGGGGCCTCAGACCAAACACTTGATACTTACTAGCTGTGTGACCCTGGGCAAGTCACTTAACCCCAATTGCCTAAAAAACAAAAAAATGGTGTATGTACCCAGTTGAATGTTTAGAATAGTGTTCAAAATGATATAAGAATCTTAGACCAAGCCACTAATAGTAGAGGGAATAAAAACCTGGCAGGTAATTGGGATAAAGTTAAGGAATATTGCATCTTGAAAAGTATATTAAGCCATGAAGGGGAAACCCCTACATTCCCCCCGAATTCCCATTAATCATCTATCTCCAAGACTACCTAGAAACTGGCATAAGAAGGGAAAGAAGGCAAAAAAAGAGACTCACTAGAAACTATGCCCAAAGGGCTATAAAACTGTGTATACCCTTTGACCCAGCAATACCAGTATTATTAGGTCTATATCCCAAGGAGACAAGAAGGAAAGAAAGAAAGAAAGAAAGAAAGAAAGAAAGAAAGAAAGAAAGAAAGAAAGAAAGAAAGAAAGAAAGAAAGAAAGAAAGAAAGAAAGAAAGAAAGAAAGGAAGGAAGGAAGGAAGGAAGGAAGAAAGAAAGAAAGAAAGAGAGGAAAAGAAAGAAAAAGGAAAAGAAAGAAAAAGGAAAGGAAAGAAAGAAACAAAAGAAGCTATACATAGCTCTTTTGTGGTAGCAAAGAATTGGAAATTGAGGGAAATTGGAAATCAATTGGGGAATGGCTGAACACGTTGTGGAATATGAATGGAATGGAATACTATTGTGCTGTAAAAAAGGATGAGTAGGATGCTCTCAAAAAAACCTGAAAGAACTTACAAAGCAAAGTGAGCAGAACCCGGAGAAGAGTACCCATAATAACAGTAATATTTTATAATGATCAGCCGTGAATGACCTAGCTAGTCTCACCAATACAATGATCCAAGACAGTTCCAAAGGACTTAGGATGAAAAATGCTATCCACCTCCAGAGAAAGAACTATGGAGTCTGAATGCAGATTGAAGCAACCTTTTTTTTTTTACTTTCTTTTTCTTTTTTTTTTGGAGGGGGAGAGTCTGGGTTTTCTTTTGCAACATGACTAATATGAAAATATGTTTTGCATGACTGCACATGTATAACCTATATCAAATTGCTGTCCTTTTCAATAAGGGAGAATAGGAAGGAGGGAGGGAGAGAATTTGAAACTCAAAAAAATTTTTAAATGAGTGTTAAAAATTGTTTTTACAAGTAATTGGGGAAAGAAAAAATTTTAAAGAAAAAAGCAGACATGGAATTATAGGTTAAAAGCTGGAAGGGACTTCAGAAGTTATCTAGTTCAACTTCCTTCATTTTACAGAAGAGCAATATGAGGTCCAGAGAGGCAAAATAACTAGTCCAACATCACACAGCTAGTAAGTGGTAGGGCCAAGATTTGGCACCCGCCTCCCGCCCCATCCCCACCCCTGACTCCAAATCTATAGAGCTTCCACTCCTCTCTACTCCTTTCACCTCTTAGGCTGGGTCTGTAACGATTTCCCTGGACATTCAGAAAGGTCAACGGGGTCTAGTTCCCTTCTCTGCTCCTATTTCACTGTTGGGATGAAGGGACGAGTCTCTAGGCTTAGGTTTGTTTTCTTTTCCCATCTATAAACTAGGAATAATGATGAAACACCCTACCCATCATGCCCTTCACAGGGATGTGATGGCAATAAATGAGTTGTCTCATGGCAGTGCCAGTTTTCTGTATCATTGAGACAAGGTGTGACACATATTCACATTTCTTTTGCCTTTAACCTGGAGGGTTATCAATCCAGGGCAGGATTTTACTCTTAGAAGGTAAATACCACGGGTGTGTTTCCAGATTCAGTTCCTGCCTAGATTTTCTAGATAATACAAGCTTAAACTAAAGGAGTTATGAATAGACAAATGACAAGGAGCATTTCATAGTAAAGACTATCAACAGGAAATACAAAATAATGAGAAAGAAAAACAAATTACCCAAAGAGACAAATATTACCACAAAAGGAGCCATGAAATGTCATTGTTAGGAGCACAAGGGGATGGTCTATAGGGTAATCTAAAAGAAATTACCCTTTAAAGGAAGCCTCACATGGAGCCAAATTGAAGTCAAATGATAATTCAGTCTCACTACATTCCCAAATCCAGTCTAGTTTTTGTTTAACTTCTTAAGTGACTATTCAGGAGTGGATAGTGGTCAAAACCATAACTTCCAGGTAGAATCTATTCTCATAGAAGTGATGCATAGGGTACCTGATCCAATTCTGGAAATTCCCCATCTTAAGGAGACTAAATTAATATCAGTTTGGGTGTTAGGTTAGATCAGGATTGGGGAACCTGCGGCCTCCAGGCCACATGTGGCCCTCTAGGTCCTCAAGTTCGGTCCTTTGACTGAATCCAAACTTCACAGAACAAATCCCCTTAATAAAAGGATTTGTTTTGTAAAACTTAGACTCAGTCAAAAGTCACATCCAAGGACATAGAAAGCCCCCGAGGTCACAGGTTCCCCACCTGTGGGTTAGATTAACAGATCAGAACTTCCAAATTATTATCAAGGAAGAAAGTAATTGGATTGTAGGGACCTCTGTGTAATTATAATAACCAAACCTGGTTCAAGAGAAGAGATAAGAAAATATACTTTCTTCCTCCTTTTTTCACACAGGTGATGGTGGGGGTGGTAGGGTTGGTTTATGGGTGGGAAAAATCACAAATACCTTCAGATTAAATATTAAATAAATTCAAATTAAATAACATACCTTCCTATGTTATTTAATTTTACTGAACTGATTTTTTTTTCTTCTTTTAATCTTTATTACAAGAGATGGCTTGCTGAGTAAGGAAGAGGAGGTGATATAAAAACAAAAGATATCAATTCACTTTGTAAAAATCTGATTTTCCTCAGATCTTTAGACCTAGGGATTTTCTAGAATTGGTCCAGAAGTAGCAAGGGTTCTAAGAGAACAAACTCTAGGCCAGTCCAATATCAGTCCCAATCCCAGCCTATCAAGGAAGTCTTGATGCATTTGGCTACAAGTCAATCACTATCATTCATTGTTCACCTAGTATGGAACAAAGGGGAGAGGAAAGAATGAAGAGAGATTATTGTGGGGATTCATTACAATAATAATAAACATACTTAAATGGCATTTAAAAATCTATAAAGAGCACTTCCAAACTTTGATTTCTACCCAAATCAAAAGGAAATGTGCAAGGCCAAAGCAAGTTTCAGAGTTATGCAGTTATGGAGCTGCTTCATTTTAACTATTAACAGCTAAATTAGAGAGTATGAAAAGGTACAATTACCCTTTTACTGAGCTCATTAAATAATGTGTCCTCTTCAGCCATACACTCTTCTGGAATCTTTAGTGTGACCAAGAATGTTTTATTAGATGCTAATTCAAGTATTTCATTTTCATCCTCATCTATGTAGCTTGCTGAAATGGAAAAACAAAAAGGAAATCAAATCAAAATAGACATTGAGAACAAATTAAAAGAACCTATACATTCTAATGGCTATTGTGAAGAAGGAAGGTAAAGTATTATGTTATGATGAAAGAACACAAAGTTAGGCCAGAGTTTGTATATAGTGAGTATATCTAGAAACACAAGTAACAGAAATAGGCTTAAATTGAATGAATGACCCTAAAGGGCACCAGGAAGGCTCACCTACAAGGTCACTTTGTGAATGTTGAGCCTCACCCATTTTGATTCTCTGATACCCCACATACAACAGATTCTGGGATGAAAGGTATTAACTCAGCTTAGCTAATGGATGCCCACAGCACAGGCTGAATTTAAAAACTGTCCAAAGATATAATGGCAAAATCAGGGTAGAGTATCATAGGGCCAGGAGAGGAGAATCTGTATCTAAATGTTATATGTCACTAATATCCTGGAAATATGAATTGGTCCAACCATTCTGAAAAAGAATTTGGAACTTCACCCAAAAAGTCACTAAACTGTTCAAATCACTAAGCCAGTGATACTACTAGTAGGCTTAGATTTCCCAAAAGATCAAATAAATAGGGAAATTAGGAAAAGACCCGTATGTACAAAAAAACCACCCCAAAACCTTTATAGCATAACTTTTTGTTTGGAAAGAAACGAATGCCCATCACTGGGGGAATGATTGAACATACTACAGTATAGTATAGGAATGTAATGGAATGTTACTGTGTCATAAGTAAGTAAAAGAGGTGGATTTAGAGAAACATGAGAAGATATCAGAGCAAAGTAACTGAACCAGAAAAATAATTTACACAATAACTACACTGTAAAGAAAAAATAGGGCAGCTAGGTGGCACAGTGGATAGAATGCCAAGTCTGGAGTCAGGAAGACTCATCTTCCTGAGTTTAAATCTGGCTCAGACACTTAGTAACTGGGTGACCCTAGGCAACTATTTGCCTCAGTTCCTCATCTGTAAAATGATCTGGAGAAGGAAATGGCACCCCCCCCCCACTACCTCTGCCAAGAAAACACAAAATGGTGTCACGAAGAGTCAGACACAACTGAAACAAGTTAACAACAAAGAAAAACAACTTTGAAAGATTTAAGAACTCGGATCAATTCAGTAAATCATCATGACTCTATAAGACTAATAATACATAAATCATACTTTGCACATGTTAACAGAGAAGTGATGGACTAAAAGTGCGGAATGAGACACACATTTTCTGACACAGCTAAGGTGTGGATCTGTCTTGCTGGAATATACTTATTTGTTACAAAAGAAGACTTTTGTTTTTTTTCTGTTTTTTGTTGTTGTTGTGTGTTTTTTGTTTTTTTGCTTAGGGCAGCAGAGCTATGAGGGGAGAGGATAGTGATAGGGATTTAAAAAAAGAAAAAGAAAGAAAAAGAAAAGAAAGAAAAGAATCTTAATTAAATATTTGTAAATATATATAGCAGAGAGAGAAAAGTTCTGAAAGTGACAGGAACAGGCAGAATAGTATAGGAATTACAGTGGTAAATTTATTATGTACATAAAACAAGTTGTGTATAATTCAACCTCACAGTTTCATATGCAAAGTTTTTTTCTGTTGTTTGTATGTGGAAATGATATTTCTTAAAGGCTGTATGTATTTATCATAAAAAATTAATTTTATATGACTCACTTTTGTATCATTTGGGAGTCAGGATAAAGAAGTTACTTTGACCACAAAATTAAAGCTAGAATGTAGATGAAAGGCTTTTATAAAATCTGTCCACTCCACTCCATCCCCCAACATACCTTTAAAAATGGAGAGGGTTGTTTGTTTATTTGTTTTTAAACCAGTCTTTGCCTTGGACTGATACATGGAATTAGAATGTTGACAAAATACTTGCCAGACAGAAAACAGACTTTGAACTTGGCCTCTGGCTCTGCAGTGTTTAGGAATTATATTCTTGAAGACAATGAGTTCTGTGTTTCTACTTATGTTCTAACGAGCTCCTGCTATTACCTAATTGTTTTTTAATCTGTTCAGTTTAAAGGAAAAACAAAGCTTAAATCTGGGAGCTGCCACTGTGGTTGAATAACCAGTTATTCACCCTTAGCTCAACATTACCCTAGTGGAATAGGGTACTATGGTTTACTGTCTCTTGGACAATGGGAAATAAATGGGTAGTAGGAGCTCAGTTCCCACTTATAGGTGACCCCATTTAACAAAACCTAGCCATTAAACTTGGCAGTGATGACCTGCAGTGGCCATTAAAAAGGCAAGCTGCCCATAGCAGAATAAACCTCAGTGTAACAAAAATCTAGTAAAGAAACCCAAAAGAATATTTTATCAGTTCCTTAGGAAAATGGCAAATAGGAGACATAAAAAGGAAGAATGATAACTTTGTACCTTTCTTGAGTCACATTGCTTCTATAGGAAATGTAATGAACATAGACTATGTGCAGGATTCCAATGGATTCCAAGGCAGTGTGATAGAATACACAGCATGCTGAACTTGGAGTCAGGAAGGCCTGGGTTCCAATCTCATCTTTGACCTTGGGCAACTTCATCTCTCTAAAACTCAATCTTCTGGGCATTAGACTCAAGGACACCTAAGGTCCTTTCCACCTGTAAATCTAGGAACCTTGAATCCTATGACTTCAAAGGTCAAATACAGGCCCAAGGTTAAAGAGGAATCTCCAATAGGCCCTGATTACGTCTTCCACACTGAATGGACTACACATATAGGACTTCATGCATTCATTCAGCAAACATTTATTAAATGTCTCCTATGTATTGGGAAATGTGCTAGACATCAGCACAGAGAATACAAGTTGGAAGACAGAGTCCCTATTCTGTATGGACTCAAAATGTAGTAGACAAGATAGGCCATATGCACAAAAAGATGTTCAGTGCTAAGTGCCCAGAGAATGATGTAATCGATAAATGCCACAATAGTGAAGAGAAGAGGAAATTGGTGATTGGAAAAGATTTCATGGAGGAAAGGGGACCCCAGATAATAACAACAATAAGGATGATGACAATGATAATAACAATAACAAAGCATCTAGCATTTATATGGCATTTTAAGGTTTGCAAAGTACTTTACTTAAATTATCTCATTTGATAAGATGGACCTTAAAGGAAAGTTAGGCCTTAAACAAGCTGGGAGTAGAAAGGAGAGAGGGGGAGGGAATGGAGGGGAATGACATTCAAGAAAGGAGAAAGTTTGTGCAAAGGTATAAAGGCACAATTTCAAGACAAAAAAAAAATGAGAAGACCAGTTTGTCTAAAGTAAGGATTCATAATATCCTTCGTAGTGGGAAGTAGTAGTAATAGGAAAAAAGATTAAAGACTTAGGTAGGGGCCGGACCAAGTAGTTTATCCTTTAGGCAATGAAGAAGCACTAACAATTCATGAGCAGCAGGGTAAAATGTGCCAAGTGATGTTTTAGGAAAATTACCCGGCGGGGGCCCGTAGAATATATTGAAAGGGGGAAAAGATTAGAGGTAGAGATAGATGCCATTTTGGAGCCCATTGCAAAAGTACAAACATGAGGTAATGAGAATCTCAACTAGTCCGCAGCAGGAATGGAAAATAAGAATGGACACAATGAACATTGCCAAGGACGGAATGACAGGACTTGGCAACTGGCAGGGTGTGGAGATGTTTAAAGAGGAGCCAGGGAAGACAAGAATGACGGCACCACGGACAGAAATTGAGAGACAGCAATTTTGAGAGTTAGAAGGAAGCTTGGAGACCGTCTGGTCCAGTGCTTTCGTTTTGTAGATGAAACTAAGACCTCAAGAAGTTAGAAGATTTATCCATGGTCACTCAGCGGAGATCAGAACCCAGGTCTCCCTATTTAATGAGAGGGAAGGGTGGGGGGATGGAAGAAGCCTAGGTTTGGGAGGAAAAAATGATGAGTTTGCTTTTAGACATGTTCATTTTTAAATGGTGATGGGACCTTGAAGCTAAGATGTTTAGCAGACACTTGGAGATTGGGAACTGAAGTGCTTGGGAGCTAGATAGATCTATATGGGTACTATCTGTAGAGAGGTGGTAGTTGAAGGTTTAAGCATAGACGACATTTAGGAGGGAGATGAGAGTGAAAAGAGCTGAGGAGCGAGTCCAAAAGAAGACCAATGTTCTTGGTAGGTCATGTCCTACAGAGGAAACAACATTGGATCTGGAGTTAGAGGATCCAAGTTCAAATCTAGCCTCTGATGCTTACTATGGGTGATCATATAAGAGCTAGGATTTATATAGTACTTTAAGGTTTACCTATATTATCTCCTTTGATCCTAACAATAACAACAACAAAATTAAGCAACCAAGCTCTGAGGGGTAAATGCTGTTATTATCTCCCATTTACAGATGAAGAAACTGAGGCTGAGTGAGGTTAAATGATTTGCCCAAGGTCATGATGCTAGAAGGCATTGAACAAAGCACAACCTTGTTAACCTAACATTCAAAGCCTTCCATTATCTAGCTCCAACATCACTTTCCAGGCTTATCTCACATGGCTCTCCTTCACATGCTGTACAATACCTGCAAATTTGATGCTGGGTTTGTGTATAGTCCCTTTTTTCTGTTTTTCCATGTCTATATAAATGCTTATTTTATTTGGTATTTGTTAAAATCAGAATTTTAAAAAATGATTATACAGTGACCACCTGCCATCTCTTTTTTTTAACCCGCTCTCTCCCATCTCTGATTTGTTCATGTCAATCCCCATGATTGGCATGGACTTACACCATCACCACAGAGACACATAAAATATACACTGAAATCTTCCCTCTCCTGGTATGACATATTTAGAGTTGGAAGGAACTTCAGAGACAATATATACCTAACTCCTTATTTTACAAATGAGGAAACTGAGACCCAGAGATCATATTAATTATCCAAGGTTCATCAAGGCCCAACTCAGGTAAGTTTTTAGCTGGAATTGTGTTTTATTTATACATGTATTTATATATTTATAATCATATGTATATGTATGTATATATGCATA